ATGAAATAACCAAGTTAACATGAAGACTGAAAACTATGTAGAAACACCGTTATCAGTATTAATGTGTTTTCTCTACAACTTCTCTCCTACTGTATTTCTATGGATTTTTGCTAAATTAATTCGCATTTATACTTGAAAAAAAGTAGTAATCTTAGATTTTATGTAATATATGAAAGACCCAAAAGGAACAGCAGCAGTTGCTCTTTATGGTGCTGCTGCTTCTTGATGTCAAGTTGGGTGGAGTTTTGAAGAGGACCCAAATTCAGAGACTGAAGCTGAAGTGGTTCCTTGAAGATTTAATTACAAAGGTGGTAACAAAAGCAGAATACAAACTAACAACAGCAACAAAGTCCAAAAATACTCACAACAAGGGGGCAAAGAAATGACGACAAACAAACAGTGACTTAGCAAGGGGTGCATATATGGGAGAGAGAACCAAAGACCAGACTAATCAGCAGATTGGGAGCAGGTGTGGACAGAGGAGTCTAGAAGGGAGTCAGGGAAAAGGAGACCAACACAAGAGGGCAACAGAGAGCAAAAAAGAAATACCTAATAACTCAAATATAATAAAAAAAATAACTAGAATATTACAAAATGGAAATAAAAACAAATGAAAACCCAAAGATAAAACAGAACCAAAACCATGACTCTTCTATGCCTTTTCTTAAGACACAGCTCTAAATTTTCAGAGCAGAGAATGTCAAAGCAGCTGCTTGTCTAAAGGTGGTATTACATCAGTTTAAGATCATGTAATCAAACTATTAAATATCTGAACCTGACTGCAATTTCGCATTTTATATTTTAGGGAAGCAACAATTGTATGTCTTTTGCACATAGTCTCTTCATTTTTGGAATTGCCTTAATTAAAAACTAACAAACCACAATTTATGAGAGCGAACTTCCTTTAACCATAAATGGACTCCAAATTGGAGCAAAGAAAAGATAGGTGAAACCGTTTGGAGTAAGAAGGTGCAGGGCAGTTCATCTTCAAAATGAAGATCTGTGGCACAGAGGGACAGAGTTACTGCGAACAGACATCAAGAAGATAAACATCCCCTGCAAGTGACTGAAGCATTGGTGCTTTATCAGTGATAAGGCTGGATAATCTGATGAGGACTGGATGAAAACCCATGTTAAATTTACCGCAATGGCCTGAAAAGGTGATGTACACAGGTAAGTGAGCCTATATAGAGCTATGAGGGGTAGAGATAATGTACAACCACAAACACGGACTGATGCACCAATAGAGGGGAATTGACACGATGAAAGTCTGGACAAAGCAAAGCTGGTTTTCTAGTGATAATGAGTCAATTCATCTCCTTTTCACAAGATATTGACTTTTTATTTCCTTAAACCAAGATGAATGTAGGTGTTGTTTAAGAAAAAAACAAGTTATATCATCAGTTTATATGACAAAAGAGAACAGATGGGTGTTTGGTTGATTAGATTTTAGCTTTCTTCATCTGTGACTATGTTAAAAAAAAAGATTAATAGCTGAACATAGAAGCTAGGCTTAAATGTGGAGCTTTGATTGCAGCCGGTAGATTTTTAGTGTAAGCCATAACCGTTAACAGGAAACAACATTGTTCTCTAATAAAATTCCTACAAGTCATTATCACCAGTGAGGCAGGTCACTTATTTCCAAGTTAAAAGGAAATTGCAGAAATAATATGTTGCTATGAGATGGCTAGCTTTTGTTTCTTTAGAAAATAACACCCATGTCCAGGCTTTCCCATTTTTCAGTCTCTGTTCATGTTTCTGCTGCTTTTTGTGCATCAAAATGTTTCTTCCCCTTTTGTTTACCGTCTTCCTCAGATGTGCAGAACATTTTGTACTTTTAGCAAACCAAGTGTCTTAATTCACCACACGACTGATTAGGATCTGCACACTATGTGGAGTTCATTAGATTACATGTTCAACAAATCTGTTGGAGATGATTAGTGTCATACTGCTATCTCCTGGTGGAAGTAGCCATCAGATAATAACTACATTGCAGCTATAAAGGGATGGATAAGGTCAGAACATGTAAGCAGGTTGGCTTTAACGTCTCTAGATCCCATTGAGATTAAGAATGTTTTGTAAGACTGAGACATTGATTTATATTTCCCCCCCTCCTGCTAAAATTGACCTTCAAACACCACAGTATTTTTCTAGACAGTTTTAGAATCCAGGTTCTCCTCTATTTTCATAGTAGTAGCCATTCAAATTTTCCCTCACCTTCCTTGATGGGCCCTTGGCCAGTCCGGTACAATTCCTTTTTAAACATCAATCTTTGTACTAAAATATTCTTTCTGTCATAATTTGTGGACATTGAGATCTAAAGAGAAGCATCATCTCCTGGTCAGACCCTGTAATTCAGTGAAATGTTTGAGTCAGTAAAAAAAATTAATTTCCATGAGCAGGCCAGTGGCTGGAAGTTGGAGGGGATTTTGAGGGGAAGTTGGCTGACATCCAGCTGCCGTTTGACTGGTTAGGGCCATTTTGATTGGCTGCTACTGTATTTTAAATCTTTAAATCATGATTACAGTATATTAGAATAGATTAGATGATCTTTATTATATATATATA